AGACATCTCAACCCCCACCACAGCCCTGTGACCTCAGGGCACCACCTTGGATCCAGCCATCACCAGGAGCTATCAGGCGAGCTGTTGAGGAACTAACCTGGCAGGAGAAAGGCGGGTAGGATCTTATCTGTGTCTACTGGGGCATTGCTGATTACCCGGGAGAGCACCTAAGGGCACGCCCACAGGTGGGGAATTTGGCTGAGCTCTCTTGGGCTACACCACTGCCCCAAAGGAGCCAGCCAGCTGGCTTCTGTGAACTCTGCAGACCAGCCAGAGGCTAGTGGGTGGGTGGGAATTTGACCTTGACTTTTCGGATCCCATAGGATCCAGGACCCTGCTGGAGCAGGGGTTATTGTGTGAGGGCACCTGCATAAGTGCCACCAGGCAGGGAGCACTGAGAAAACCATTGGGTAGGAAACAGACAGCAGGAATTTGAGTTAGGACCCCCGATGTGAACACACTGAGACAGCAGAGGTTTGAGCAAGGTCCTCCAAGTGATTGACCTGCCCTTGCGATCACCCAACCCTTTGCCTGCCTCACCTCATTTGGCTCCACACCAGTGCCTAAACGTCTGGGCAATCAACTTGCCTTTAAAAGGGAGCACCTTGACCTGTTTTAGCAACAAGAGATTGCCCTAGCAGGCGCTGAACTAACATTTTTCTGAAGTCATAAAGTCAGAGAAACGCACAAGTTCGGTAGCTGCCCATCTGACCTCAAGAGCATTGTCTTCAGATCAAGAACATATACCAATGTCTCGAAGAAAGCAAACTATCCCACACAATATACAAGAGCAAAGCAAGATGTGACTCACAAAGGGAGATGCAAGAGTAGCAAATACCCTGAAACTAGAAAGTCTCATGGACCTTTCTGACACAGAATTTAAAAGAGGAGGGACTGAATATATCCAATGGATGAAAGACAAACTTAATGAATTACCAGATGCTACAAGCAAAGACCAGGAGGAGTTCAAAAAAACAATACAAAACATTGCAGAGAAAACAAATAAGGCATTAGCGGCACTGGAAAAACAAGAATCCACCATTCAAAATATAAGATCCAATGTTTCAGAGGCTGTCAACATGATGGAGGGACATATGAGCAGAGTTGATGAGATGTAACACAGAATCAGTGAAATTGAAGACAAAAATGTCACCACTGATCTGCTAGAGCAAAAAGCAGACTCAAAAAAGAAGGAAAAAGAAGAAAACCTAAGAATAATGTGGGACAACATGAAGAAAAATAACATGCGCATCATTGGAATCCCAGAAAAGGAAGAAGCAAGTAAAAGCACTGAAAAAGTGGTGGAAGAATTACTAGAGGAAAACTTCCCAGACATAATGAAGAATGAGAGAATATATATTCAGGAAGCTCAGCG